TTTCAAGATTTCTATAAGAGTTGAAAGGTTCCCCGAAAGTTGAAAGGTACTGGAGCTGGAAAGTTTTATTGGGGAGCGGGAGGTGACAAATAAAGGCACAGTTTGTTATCAAAGGAAACTGAACAGAATGAGAAGTGCGAATGGGCAATGGAAGGATATTCCAAAGATGGGGGGAGCGGTGGAAGAAGGAGCGCTGGAACACAAATGTCCTGCAAAAAAGCAAAGCAGAATCATGATCACTGCAATCGATAGAAAGAGAGAGAGAGAGAGAGAGAGAGAGAGGGGGAGGGAGGGAGGAAGGTATGAAGGGAAGATGAGAGAAGGGGGTTATACGGGATCTCAAACACGGCCGGAATTAATTAAAAGTTCCTTAATTCCGCGCGAGGTACACGTTCCGCTTACACGTGTTTACCCGTGTGATCCGCTCCCGCGAGCAAGTGACTGCGATTATGGTAAACGCCTGATAGCGGTGAAATTCGCGCGGAAACGCCGGGGTGTCGTCTATTTCTCCTCCCTTTTTCCAAAACTCGCAACTCGGAAATTGCCCCGCTCCGCTATTTAAGCGCGATGGCGACGATTAACCGCCGCGTTCGGTATTACATCCGTCGGGAAAAAGATGACACCTTGCTGATCCCGAAAGAGCTGCGGATCACGACTATTGCACACCGGGGTTAATCTTCAGCGGTTTCCCTCGTACTTCTATCTAAATGTATATGCTTCACCGCAGCCCCCGGCAATGAGACACGCATTCTTCGCATTGAATAACCACTTACTCGGAGGTGGAAGCACCAGTTTTGCCGCCCGTTATCTTGGCGGTGCGTTTCTTTGTCGCTCTCTCGAGACGAGACGAGCGTAGCATTCCCGTGGCACTGTGGGCGAGCGAACACGGAAGGAGCACACAAGAAAAGCGTGTGCACCTGAGAAGAAGCGCACTTCCTGCAACAGGACGCGCGGCAGTGGACGCGTCGTCGCACGTCCTCACCGTCGAGGAGTCAAGGTTATATCAATAACGAAGAGGCAAGTCTGGCCGGGTCTCCACCGCAGCTGCCGGCGGCCGGCAGCTTCCACCGCGCCGCGAGGGATATCCGGGGCAATGGATCGGGACGTGTCCCGGGATTTGCGGATTAGGTCGACCGCCGAAGGCCGAAGGAACGGCGTTACGTCTGCGTCTGGCTTAACCGCGGGGATAGATAACGTTGCCGAAGGATATACCGAGCCGGATAGTTATGGGCTCACATTTTACACCGCCGAGCTATAGCGTTGCCTCTTAGAGCGCAACTAGCCCGCCTCGCTTTTACCGAGCGAGCGAGCGAGCTTGCGGGCCGTCCGCGAGGAGATAATGGACCGCTCGGTCAGCCCCCGAAGAGCCACCCCGAGCCGACCGTCGAAGCCACGCTACGCGGGGTGATTTGCAAACGAAACCCGGGCGTGGAACACTGGCGTGTCGGGGGCTTAAGGATGATTTAAAATACGCGACGGGCAGCTTTTTCATTATTAACACGTCGAGTGGGCCGTGATGGTCGACAAAAAAGAATTAGTATCAATTCGAGATTCATATTCACGGGGAAAAGGAGATCGTGTATGAAATTTGTATTATGTATGACTATGTATAATCATATATACGCAACGAAAATATACAGAGCACGCTACTTCTAGTGCCATAAACGAAAACAAAACGGTCACATTATATCTTACGGGATATGTCGTATAACGTGACTATTTTGTTTCCGTTTGATACTAGAAATACTGTGCTCTGACTCTTATTGGCCCTATTCATCTTCATAAAAATATATAATTTATACTTAAAGACGAAACTTGCTTACATGAAGACGTTCTATAATAATAATATAATTCTATAATTCTATTAAAAATAACTTTTACGAATTGAGAATAAAAAGTACTAGATAGAGAAACGATATTTTCAAGCTAAAAATTGTATCAGTTTAAAATGTGGTCCTTTCTGTCCAATAACGTTTCATTTATCGCTTATAAAATATTATTTTTGAGTAACAAGAATATTATATTTTTATCAAACTACATAGAATTTCTTGTCTTTTTAAGTCATGTATAAAATATAAAAATACTGCCACTTAAATTGCAAGAATGATTATTTCATTCAACTTAGAGTGGATTCTAACTCCGTAGGAATAAAAGTTTCAATCGATTGGAATGAATATGTGTCTGTGACGGTGGGGTACATCAGATTTACTCTTGAATTTCAAATGAACATATTCACTTGACGACATTCCAAGTAGAGAATTTATTCTATATGAATAAAATATCACTTGAATTCGAGTGATTCGGGGGTCATTCGATGCTTTTCGAGTGAAATTTCACCAAAAAATTTGAAGAACACTATCGAGTGTCAGACATATGTTCTTTTGTGGACGAGTATAATATAAAATACCACAAATTAATATGTAGACACACGTTATTATTTAATTATATATATGTATGTATGTATGTATGTATGCACATGTCTGAGTTTGTATATGTGAAAATGAGGAACTTGTGATCCTTTTATTTTCTGAGATCATTATAGACGTTATAATATTATAATTATTAAAATATTAATATTATAATATTATGATATGTTATTATCAAATTCTATATTAATATAACATTAAAATATTAATGTTATATATATTATAGTATTATGATGGATGGAATTAACATACATCACAATTCACAAATTTCCGACCGCGTACTCGCTACGATCGAATTTCAGTAAGGTAATTTCCCTCCGCACAGTTAAGCATTAATTCGATTTGGAAAAGTACCTCGATCTTCACTCTCCGCTCCTCTCTCCGCGACTCTGCGCTTTGCTAATGAATAAAAAGATTTCTCTGATATACTTCATAAAGCACTTCGGCGAGGCCGGAAGCCCGTCTTCCGTCATCGCGCATAGTTTCAGAGTTAAATGCGAAATTAAATATAACCTCGTGGAAAAATAGCGCCCGCGCGCTCGAAGCATGGCGAGCAATGACCGGACAAAAACGCGCCGGCGATCCCGAGGAGATGACTACCATCCAGCTGGAAAGCCATATCCATTTCCCGGAATATCCAGCGATAACAAGTCCCGGGCGAAATGAATTTGACGTTTCAATTTGCCGGTATAAGTTCACACTTTCTCCCCTTCCCCCCCCCCNCTCTCTGAATGAAAAAGCGGCTGTTCGCGGACACTCGACCCGGTCGCGAAATTCCGAGGCCGCGGCGAACTCGCGAACGGTTGCAGCTGTACATGCGCGTACCGTCTATAAATCCGCGCGCGCGTGTTCACGTCGGGCTTCCTTATAATATTACAGAATACTCGGGGACAGGTAACGAAGCAAGCACCGGCGCTGTAAGTAAATCAGTGTAACAAGCCGTCCTATCCGCCTGTTCGAGCGGAAGCTCGCCGAGGCTTTGAGCCGGAAGGCAGAACCCGGAACTTCTTCGTTCACGCTCGAGCTGGCACCTTCGATTTGGCTTAAGGGCCCCGATCCCTTTGGTGAGCGCGGCAGCCCGGCACGCTCCGGCAAATTTTTCCCAGTTGTGAACTTTAAAAGACGCGGAGGACGTTACCGAATATGTGCTGCTCTCCGCGATCGAAGCGGAGGAAGAGAGGAAGCTGATCGAGAAATCATATTCGACCGGGCGGCTTCATTTCCTACATATTTAACGCGCTCGCCCGGCGCTCACGCGACGCGCTCGATTCTCGTCAGACCGGCGTACAGTGGTGGCACCGTACACGACGCGGAGGGAACTTCGCATCTTCGGAATTTCTCGATGTACTTTGTGATCTCATTTTTTTATGATTCTTCTCGAAATTTTATGTTCATATCGAAAGTAATATTAAGACATCTAACATAAAAATGAAATAAGAATAACCACTCATTAGATTAATCTATGCTTATAATTGTCACGATCGTGCGCGTGCGTTACAAAAGAATTATTTTATAGTTTCTTATTTAATAACAATTATTATTTAACATTACGTACAGGACGTTTAAAAAACCACTCAATATTGTATTGATATGGTGGTATAGTATTCACTATACTAAATAAATAAGATCTTAGTAACCATAAGTCGAAAGCTCAACTTTTTCTGAGATATAAATATTTTTAAAGCTGAAATTGTTTTATACCGTTTTCAATATCGTGTGTATTATCTACCATATAAATCAATATTTATTGAATGGTTTTCTTGAATATCCTTTTTATATTTTGATTATATAATCTTTCTTTATTATATAAAAGTAACAATTACAGCTGAAATTTCAAGAAGTAGCACGTAATTTTTATAAGACAACTTAGCGATAGTATCTGTTATTAAAAAGTACAGTTAAGAGCTTGGAAAGTGAAGCATCTTTTATAGATATAATACGACCAAAAAATTTTTAATTTTTAATTTTAGGAATCATTGTTACAATTGCATTGTAGTACGATTTTCGTAAAAAAATTTAGAAAAGTAATTATGCCACGCATAAAGTAAAATTATACAAATTTAAAATACATGAGATATATTTCAGTTAAACAGAGATTAGATAATAGAATATAAAGGTCTCTAAAAATAATTTGAGATTTCTTCTTTAAATCAAATGAATAAAATATATTCATTTTTATAACGAGATACTACTTTATTAGGTATCTTAAAATAGCAGTCGATATATAAAAACGTTATTTTCAAGATGTTATGTTTTTTCCATCTCCACATTATTGTGCGGCCCGACGTTAAAGTTACACATTGCTGAAGTTTCTCGTCGTGCGTTGTACAAAGCAGCACGTGCTGCATCACATGTAATTATTTAAAGAGATCTGTAACATGCGAGAGAGAGAGAGAGAGAGAGAGAGAGAGAGTTTGTTAAACTTAAATGCGAGAGCAAAGGGGCGTTAATCCTTCTATTTACGTATTGGTTATTTTTACATCGTGAATGATTAACTGGAATGTGTACACAGTATATAATAATAATCTTCGTGTACGAGAAAAACTCTTAGTATACAATGAAAATAAAACTAATCGCACTATATCTACATCGTACATATCTCTTCGATATTTTTATAATTGAGATAAACTGCTGCGATGCATTATACGGCAAGAAAAGTGGTGCAATGAAAGAAATGCAAATTTTAGAAGAAGAAGAGAAGGAGAATTATGTAAGTTTCAAATCGTCTCGATTTCAAATATTTGAGAGAAAATCTCAGTTGAGACTTTGTATAGTCTGTCCCGCGAAAGCGTACATGCCACATCTGCAAGAAGATTTATGGAAATTTAAGAAAAGTAAATTACCATTTTCCATGCAAAAACCATTTTAAGGCACATTCTAAGTCTGTTTCATAGCTTAATATATCGTCTAGTCTCTATTGTTATTTATTATAGCCCGACAACATTTGACTATGCTTTCAACTAGTTTTCTAGCGTAGCTGAAAGCGATCTCCATATATGCCGAATTTAATAGCATAACTGCTTCAGCTTAGATATACGTTTACCTGAAGTTTCCTTTTCATAAACGCCCAAACGTTTTCTGCTGGATTCCCATGACATTCGTTTTTCAATGTGTTTTCGGCTAAGCAAAAGTTTTTCTCGCGTTTACCTCGCCATGCAAGTCCTAACTCTCGCAAACGGCGCTTGATTGTCATCAGACTAACTTTCACGTTCTTTTTCGAGAACCCTATCCAAGAGTTTTCGAACTTATCGCAGAGTTAATTATAAATTCGTTCGGAACACTCCATGATGCACTTATTATCGTGCGGTGTCGTGGCTCGTGTTTTCCCGCCCTTTGGAAAATCGTCGACATTGTGACTAGTTTTAAACCGCGTCATTCACTTCTGGATGAATGCTTTTTATCGTCCGATATACCTAGCAGCTTCTTTGTACGACATTTGTGGGCCTTTCGGATGCGAACACAAAAACACAGCTTCAAAACATTTCCAATATACCTCATTCATCTCGGATTATGTCTGCGTTGAATGTGAAACGTTACTGGCACATCTACTATATGACGAAATGAACTCGACGCCTCCCGTTTTCAAACCCGCCAGGATCCAGCAACCTATTGCACACAGGACCGTACGATGCGGTGTATACACTCTTGTGCGACTGACTGTACACAATCCCTTTTCCCACATCCTTTTTCGTCTCTTCTTGTTGTCAAAAATCTGTATATTTTTTTACAAAATCGTTACGTAGTCCAGAAATTGAGCACGAAATGTGCGATTTTTGCAGCATTTAAAATAGGTCAGGTAAATGGATATCGCCTCACCGTTCGCTCGAAGCGAAGGGCTTTACGGCCGCGAGTCCTGAAGTTTCAGTTAGCGACGGAGCCGAAATGTCCGGGACATTCTCCTATGTGGGCGCGCGAAACATCAAACGTCGATCGCTTTCGGAAACGCGTCCTTTATTTCGCGGAACGATGGCAGTCGCAGCCGTTTGAGTCCTGCGAGAATGCGCAGCGGGCGCGAAACGGATACTACTGAAACATAAATCTGGTGGCAGAGCCATCGTCGAATGGATCTGGCGGCCGGCCAGGACGCTTCTTATAAGTTATAAGTCGGGTTACGCCGGGTCGGCTTTTACGCGGCGTGTGCGCGCTCAGTCAACGGTTAACGATGTGTCAAAACTATTTTCGTTGCCACTTTTCACGATACATTTATGACGAGCTTTACGACGCGCGCGCCGGCACACGGCCGTCACGCTGTAGCACGCAAAAACTACAGATTCGCGAGCGCGAGATGGATGCCAACGGGACCTCGCGAGAGGAGAAAGAAGGAGGGGGTAAACTATTTACGGCGGATGCAGAGGTACGAGAATCGGATCGTGTCGCGATGAACGATCTCGATCGAATTTTACTATCGAGTGTGTCGCGATTACGCGAAATGACCGACGTGGAGATAATAAGATAATGACACTTTCTTCAGGGGAGAGAGAAATTTGAATAACATATTGAAATTTATACACGGAGGAAAATAATATTAAAACATATGTGTTCCGAAAGGGCATATGCGAGCGAAACCGCCAATAGAGAAGAGCGATGAAAATAAGTTTCTTTACTGGAACAGAGGTGTATTTTTTCCTCTTCAAATGGTCCTACATCTGGGCCCTCCTTAATGAACAGAATTACAAAAAGTCAATATTGATGTTACAATTATTCCAATTTTTAACGTGTAAGTTATCTTTGAAAACAAATGAATAGTGATAATACAAACTGATAACTAAATGCTTACTTGAGAAGAATGATTGCGAAATTTGTTAATAGAATAAATATTTTCCTACATTTACTAACTTGTTCTTATAGCAACATAATTTATTGATTCGGCAAAATAATTCAATATAGCATAATTCAATATAGCGAGTAGCAATTAGTAGTCTTAACATATCGTTTTGCTTTGTCCGGTAACTAACAGATTTTGCTGTGCCAGCGTACAATTTGTTGTGCCAGCAAATTATTTTTCTTCGTGCATGAACGTCAAAACTTTATTAACAATATTTTACTTCAAAGTGAAATTAGCAAATTACGATAATATAATTTATTATAACAAATCTGAAAAAAATATTATTTAATTTATAATATTATACATTGACTGATAACACCCGACGTAGTAGAACAATCATTCTCATGGTTTCAACTCGAAATTTATAACAATTACACTTATAATTGATATTTTAGGCTTTCGCAATATGGAGAACTTAATTTGGCTTCTAAGTTATTGCCGCGTCTTTTGTGGATTTTTTTCCGACGTCTTGTTAACATTTCAGTTCATTTCTTCAGGATAAGGAATGACGCGAAACTTTACTCAAAATTATACAAGTACTATTTCATAACATTGTGTATGATTGTTTGAAATTGGTTGAGTACTAGTCTTTAAAAATAAATTATGTTTTTACAAAGTACAAACGATATTAGAAAAAATGTTGTTAAAAACCAAGTTTCTGGTAATCCCATTTACATGAACGTCATTACCTTTCTTCGCCATATTGGATTCTACTGCGTTGCGGCTGGTGTAATAACATACTATAAAAGCAAATAAAAATACGAGTGTAGTAAGCTAAATATATGTAGCTTACAGGCACAATGATTAATGTATATATATTAAAAATTTTAAATAAAGTCGTCACATTCAGTTGAAACGTTGTGGAACATTACAAGAAATCAACGTGAAAATAAAAGTACGCTGCTTCAGACGGCAGACATTCGACAATTGGGGAGGGGGGAGGGGGGAATCTGCAAGGAGGCTCACTAAGTAACAGCACCGCAATCGCACGTTTGCGATACTATTCTATTTGAAGATATTTAAGCGAGCGAGATTTTCGCAATTACCCGCTGAACGTCATTGCCCTACTTTCCTCTAATCGCAAGATTAAATTTTTTTCTTCATCCCCCCGTGACTATCGACTACAGTAATGACAGAATTATCGCAAACGAACCTTCTCCTCATGCACTTCAACGTTAATCGAATCATTTCTTTTGCCGCTTAAACAAATCATTTATATTCAAGAGAAAAACCGACGCGCACACAGTCGACGAAATTACAAACCGAGAGACCTTTTTTTTCCACAACACGACGATTTTAACATCGAATATTCAAAAGAGTGCTGGAGATGAAGTTTTTCTCTCGCGAGGGACCAGGTCGAGCGTTCGCAGCAGCGTCAGTTCAAAGAACGAAGGGCATACGCGACGGGATACGCGACGGACAGCCGTGGAGCCGTGCAAAAGGCGAGGCGGTAATCGGGTTATGATACCAGGGGGTTAACTGCATTTCACCGCGGTTACATCGGGATTCCGTTTGCTCCGTGGACTGCGAAACGAGCGTCATAATTATTTCACGACCGGCTCCGGAGAGAGAGAGAGAGCCCCCGGAGCTCTCAACAGCCGGCGACAGTTAAGAACGACGGAAAAGAGCGGGGAAAAGACGACGAGTGCGTTCGCACGCCCGCTCGCTCGCGGAACGAGCGGAGCTTGGTGGCACATAAGCGTCTCGGAGGTATTTAATTCACGTCAAAGTACGGCGAGCCGTACAAAAGGGAATAGGAGGACGCCTACGTGCGAGCGAAGGAGCGCAAGCAGCAGACGGGAGCGGCGCGCGCCCGGCTGGATGAACAGTGAACCCGTGTTTCCCCTAACCGCAACGACCGAGTGGTGCAGTGCCAACCACCACCACCGCGGGCTCCTTCACTCCCGCTCGGTTATCCGGGAAATGCGCGCACGGATACGCCTTACGAGCCAACCGGGGAGGTCCTGTGCGAGTTCACACGCGCGTGTTTACACGTGTAAACCTACGTTTTCCGAGCTTACGTGGTCCGCGTCGCGCTTGCGTAGCGTTCTCGCGGTTAGCGGTCCTGGGATTCTGCCGATCATGATCATCACGACACTCGGCTTAAAATGGGATCATAATGTGAAATAGATTTAGTTTGTTTATATGGAAACAGGTAGAAGAAAGAAAATTGTCGCTGTTTATATGTGACGCCGGTCCCTCGTGAGGGATTGATGCGCCATACGTGTGCAACGTTAGTAGCTAATGTGATAATTTCTCGCGGATTTGCTGAATGTATTTGGGAACTATTCGGACCTGAAGTCGTTCAGCCATTGAATAGTCCGATTGTGCGCTTACGTGGATTCATACCTTCAGAAAGAAACGTTCAATTCGCAATTGGTCTTGCTTTTCCTTTCATTTCATCCGTTGTAACGGTGGCTAGTGGGTGGAATGATTCATTACTTTAAAATGCTGAAGGTTTCCGCTTCCATTAGATAAATGAGAGAGTACGATGCAACGTTGTTTTTTTTCTTTCTTTCTCTTTCTCTTCCGCAAAGCTGAAAGTAATTTCGGTTAAAAAAGGCTGTTAATCGCGATGAACTCGACGCTCCGGTTTGCAGACGCAAAGATGCAGTCGACTTTACGTATTATGGTCCAACTGGATACAGTGCCGACCTCGAACCCTACGTAGTCATCGTCCATAAAACGAGGAAACGATAATAATCCCGCGGCGATTAGGGATAGCTTGTGTTACCTGTGTGCTGCAGATTCTGTCGCAACTTCGTCCCGATCGCTCTTTGCGCGACGCTTAAACGCCTCGTCGTTGAATTAGCGAATTGTCGTTATTGGAAGGGACATCGATAAACTCGATATTTAATTGAAACTCGTTGTTAATTCAAACTATTTTAATCTTCGGGAATAAGATATACTAATTAATTAAACAGAGAAAAAGAGAGGAAGAAAAATGTCTTAACCGTACACTGAGAGAAAAATATCTTACAAATAAAAAGTATTCGGTGGATATTAATAACACATTTTACTTGAATTTCAAATTCTTTTGTTTAAATAGAATAAACAATTGCTCGCATGAAAACCTACAGACTTAAAAACACATATGTTTTCTCATTCCAGACAATTTTTTTCTTGGTGTAAAAATATGAGTATTAGTATAAGTAAATATATTATTAGTATCCACTGAATAAATACTTTTTAAAGAACGAATATAGTTAGCCATGACTAGCCGAAGTACAAATATGTTATGGTGCGACTTAAATATTAATATTATCGGTATTAATATTATTGTCTAAATTTTTTATTAATTATTATTTCATTATTATGTATTTATTAATATTATTGTAAAAATATTTTTTATTTTTTAGATATTTTTCCGCGCAACGTAGCACGTGGGAAATTGAATCATTCATCGACGGAAAATTGTTACATTTCAATATTTTATACATGTGTTGTACATATACTATTCTCATATACAACGACACTTACAAAATTATTACGATAAATGCGTTTAACCCCTGGACATACAATGACGTCTGGGAGACGTCATTCATTTCATGTACCATTGTAGACTTTGACGTCTCCGAGACGTCAAGAACTGTCTCTGGTGACGCCGTGCAGTATATTAATAGATTATTCAATTATTTCACTTGTGATTATTCAATTGTTTCACAAGCTTGCAGATAACTGTTCATTGGGCAAAATTAAATAGTATTTTTCGGACGCATCAAATTCCGTTTTATTTGTATGTCAAGGGGTTAATATCCGAGAGAAATTCCAATGAAGGAGGAGAAAAAAGGTAACAATTGCATCACAGGAAAGAAAACAGAACTGTGGAAGAACAGAACGCAGAACTCACACACGTAAGAATTTCCATATAACGATATTTGCGAGCGTTGCTCGCGCAAACATAACTATCTGAGGAGAATATCTTCGCACCTTCCTCCCGCACGTTCGATAGCTCGACGCGTTCGAGCGACATGTGCGGATTTTCCCGACATATCGTGGAGGTGCATTGTCAAAGCGCGGCCGATATATCTCGCTTCCGATACGTCGACTCGACGCCGGCAGACGGAAGAGGGAATCTCATCGAAAACTCTCCCCTCTTCCCTCCTCTACCCCCCCCCCCCCCNCTTCCCTCCTCTCCCCCCCCCCCCCCGGGCTTTCCCTACGAAACGGTGGAAACT